AAAAATTAAGGGGGGTGGGTGGGAGGGCAAGGACTGGAATTTTTATCAGGAGCATTTCCTGCCATGACACTTAGTTGCATTGCAGGCTTGTTCTGTATGTTTCTAGTTCACTGTGGTGACTGATATTTCCCTGCTTCTGGTTTTTCTTAAAAAATATAGGACCCTGTTCCTCCGGAGTTGGTCCTATTGCTGCAACAATCCCAGGATGCCTTGCTTCAGAAATTATTTCCTGCGGAGGCCACGAACCCCAAACCTGATGAAAATGATACGAAGACTCAGGCAAAACCTGCACTTGTCACAGTCGTCTCAAAATTTAAGGTTCATCCCATTTACAGATTTCAATTTAGGTTGTGCCTTCTTTTTTCCCATGCTTTCCTCCTACAACAGGGAGCCCTAAACCTGTGTTTGTTAAACAAAAGGAGGAAGAAGTGAGATTCTTAGAACAGAAGATCACAGGTGAGGGCAGCAGGTTGGTCTTCTGTAGAGGGCAAACAATTAAAGTACAGGTAGTCCTCACTTACCAACCACTCGTTCAGCAACCGTTCAAAGTTGCAATGGCACTGAACAAGTGATACTTACAACCGGTCCTCGACGTTCCGGCTGTTGCACCACCCCTGTGGTCACATGATTGTGACTCGGGCGCTTGGCAATCAGCTTGCACTTTGGACAATGGCAGCACCCCGTGGCACATGATCGCCATTTGCGACCTTCCCTGCCGGCTTCCCACAAGCAAAGTCAATGGGAAAGCCAGCAGGGAAGGTCACAAGTCGCTCTGGTAAGTCCCCCAAGCCTCTCTGCGCTGGTGTGGTGCCCTGCTTCCTCCAGCCTCCCTGCGCTCACACGGTGCCACACCCTGCGTCCCCTGGCTTCTTGTGCATGATCCAGATGTGTTTAGCAGGCACAGAATGCTGGCTACAGAGGGAAGGGATGTATAAAACCAGGAGAGTGAATGTATCGGGGTGTGTCCTAGAAAGAGCCAGGCCAGTAGATGGCAACCTTGAGCAGGAACGCGCTGTGCTGCAGTGTTTCATTGCAGACCAGTTTTTGCAAAAGCCTTGAGGGCCCATTTCTCTTGATACTCTTGCAGGGTTCCCTCGAACAGCTGATGGAGATCTTGCACAGCACCACTCCACACTACATCCGGTGCATTAAGCCCAACGCAGACTGCAAGGCGGCGCTTTTCAGAAAAGAGGAGGTGACCTGGACGCTGATTTTTATTTCCTTTTTTTTTATTTTTAAATACAGCACGTCTTCTTTTTCCCCAGGGCACCTTACAGGACATCCCAAATCACAATGGGATTTTTTAAAAGCTAAAACAATAGTTAAAACCGTAGTCCGTAAATAAAAGCTTAAGAGCAGAAAGAGTAATTAGGAAGCTTTTAAACAACACAGACATTTAAGATCCTGATACAAAAACACCTGAGAAAATAAGGCAACTTTGCCTGGTGCTGAAGGGCAATAAAGACGGTGCCAGGCGAGCCTCACTGCAGAGGGCATTCCATTAAGAAAACCTTATCCCAAGTAGCCTTTTGTAACACAGGCTACAAACCTGGCAGCTGTTACTAAGGGTTGCACCAACTACATTTATAAAGAAGGGGAACACTTAGGCCAAGGTCTCTCAACCTTGGCAACTTTAAGACGTGTGGAC